GTGTCAGTAACGGTTCATCAGCTGTAACACACATGCTGCTCTGGCGGGGGAGGGAGGTGCATGACGTAATGGAGATTATGCACGTTTGGGGGCAGGGGGGACACGGGAAATCTCTGCACCTTCCTCTGTTTAGCTGTGAACCCCAAACTTCTCTTAGAAATTTAACTCTATTAATTAAAGAAACAGGTGCAATTAATCTTAATAATGGACTTTTTAACTCAGTATATCCACAATATTAGGTCAACATGCAATCAATATAACATTATAATGAAATAGTTTGCATTCTTTTTTTTAAAATTTATTTATTTAATTTTGGCTGTTGGGTCTTTGTTGCTGCGCGCGGGCTTTCTCTAGTTACGGTGAGCGGGGGCTACTCTTTGTTGCAGTGCGCAGGCTTCTCATTGCGGTGGCTTCTCTTGTTGCGGAGCACGGGCTCTAGGCACTTGGGCTTCAGTACTTGTGGCATGCAGTCTCAGTAGTTGTGGCACATGGGCTCAGTAGTTGTGGCGCACGGGCTCAGTAGTTGTGGCGCACGGGCTTAGTTGCTCCACAGCCTGTAGGATCTTCTCCAACCAAGGCTCGAACCCGTGTCCCCTGCATTGGCAGGTGGATTCCTAACCACTGCACCACCCGGGAAGTCCAAAATAGTTTACATTCTTTTTTATCTACTAGCGGGGGCTGTGATCCAGAGCAGGCCCAGATCTCTCTGTGGCCTCTGGGGTTGTTCACACCTGCCCCCGTCCACCTTGCCAGCCTCTGGCCCCGTCACCTCTCTCACAGTTCACTGTAGCCACTCTTGCCCCCAACCTGCTCCAAAGCCCTACCTTAGACCTGGCTCCAACGCCCACCTGTGGAAGGAGGAATAATACCCCCCAAAGATGTCACGTCCTAATCCCTGGAGCCTGTGAATATGTCACGTGGCAAAGGGGACTTTGCAGGTGTGATTAAGATGGGGAGATTGGGAGGGAGTCCCCTGGCGGTCCAGGGGTCAGGACTTCTCGCTTTCACTGCCGTGGCCCTAGGGGAGCTAAGATCCCGCAACGTGCGCGGCGAGGCCAATGGGGAGATGATGCTAGATTAGCCCTGTGGGCCCTGTGTAATCACAAGGGTCCTCACAGGAGGAGTCCAAGGGAGGTTTGGCTACAAGTGAAAGAGATGTGACAATGGAAGCAGAGGCTGGAGGATTTGCTTCGAAGATGGAGGGTGGGCCACAAGCCACAGAATGCAGGTGCCTCTGGAAGCTGGAAAAAGCAAGGGAACAGGTTTTCCCCTGAAGCTTCCAGAAGGTGCAGAGGCCTTGATTTTAGCGCATAAGGACCATTTGGGCTTCTGACCGCCAGAACTGCATGATAACGCACGTGCCTTATTTTAAGTCACTGAGTTTGTGGTGATTTGTTCCAGCCCCCACTGGAAACTCTGCAGTCCCCTCTTTGGTGACGGCCCCCCAGCCAGCATCGGCCTCCCTCTCCTTGGAGCCTGTCGTCCACCAGGAACCCCTCAAGGACAGGGGGAGATGAAGAGGGCCTGGGATGGGGCGATGGAGGTGTTGGGATGCAATGTAAATGATTTAGGAGGAAGAGTCAGCAAGATGGATTAGCTGGGCAGTGGGGGCAGTATGGGGGCGGGGCAGCCAAGGATGGCCCCTGGCCCCGGGCGGTGTGACGTCCCCCTTAGAGTCTCCCAAGATTCTCTGGAGGTGTCCATCTGTCTGCTCTCTCTGTCCCACAGTGTCTGTCCTACTCACCAGGGGATGAAGTGACTGGCGCATAGTAGCTACTCAATAAACATATGTGGCAGGAATGAATTTGAACAAATAAAGAAATCTGAATTCCCAGTCCCAGTGTGATGCTTAAAGCATAAAAGAGCTGAACAAATGTTGAACGAAAGAGTGAATGAATGAATGCACTGATGTCCCAGTCTCTGGCAGGTGGCCTGGGTCTTGGGGCTAATGGCTACCTGAGGAATTGGATTTGCATTGTCCGGCGGAGTGAGGTGTTTCGGACGCTGCCATAGCTGGTGATGCAGTGGCAGGACTTTGCTTTAAACAGATCCCTCCTTCCCCGTCCAGAGAGAAGGGAGAGGGGCCCCTGTCCTCAGGGCCTTTGTACCTGCCCTTCCCTCTACCTGCGATGCTGTACTAGTTCCTCGGGCTGCCATACAACGTACCACACACTGGCTGCCTTTAGACAATGGAAATTGTTGTCTGCGGTCTAGAGGCTGGAAGTCTGGGATCCAGGTGTCGGCAGGGTTGGTTCCTTCTGGAGGATCTAGGGGAAATCTGCTCCATGCCCCTCTCCAGTCTTCTGGGGGTGGCTGGCAATCCTTGGTGTCTTTGCCTGTCTCCGTGGTCACATGACGTTCTCCCTGTGTGTCTCTGCCCACATTTCCTTCTTTCAACGACACCAGTCATTGGGTTGCGGCCCATCCTACTCTAGTATGACCTCATCTTAACTTAATTCCATCTGCAAAGACCCTATTTGCAAATAAAGGTCACATTCACGGGTTCTGGGTAGACATAAGTTTGGGGGAGACATTACTTAACCCAGTACAGGTGGCTTTCCCACAGCCAGGCACTTGGCACGTTCTCTTCCTTCCTTCCCTCCTCAGCCCAGACATCACCGGTCTGAGGGCCCTTCCCTGCCACGCTCTCTGAGACAGCAATCCACTGCCCCCTCCATCCCCCTACCCTGTTTATTCTTCTTCCCAGACCTTGTCTCCTTTGACACGGCTATAGTTTTGCTTATCTATCTATCACCCTCCTCCCCGGGCCCCACTAGAATGTAGGTTCCCGGGCAGCAGGGCCTAGATCCCACTGGCGCCCTGCTGTGGACCCACACCAGCAGGTGCCCTTGAGTGAGCAGGTATGAACAGGCTGCTGTGGCCACAGGTGGGGGACTAGGGGGGAGGCTGGACCCTGGGGAGGCAGCTGGGCCGGAGAGGGAAACAGGATGGAGGGAAGGAGTGGACTGCCCGGTGTCTGGAAGGCAGAATCGATCGCAGGTCTTAGAGATGCTTATTGGTGTGAGGTGAGGGGCCAAGAGGCTCAGAGCTTACCAGGCACCGAGCTCCAAGCACAGCTGTTCGTGTCAGGGGCGGGGGCGGTTCTAGAATTGCCTGGGTCTCTGGATCAGCCCTCTGCCAATGGGCCTCTGACTCCCTCCTTCCCAAAGAAAATCAATTCTCCCCAGTTACACCTCCAGTGGGGCTGCTTTGTTCTCTCCAGCGGGCCCTCCCTGGGGAGGCCAGGGGCGGGCAGAGGCCCAGGGGACCCTGCTGGGGGTCCGGCGGGGCGGCCCCTGCTGGAGTTCCCAGGGAGTCAGAGGGCAGGGGCTGCCTTCTGTCCTGGCCTGGGAAGGACCTTGGGGCTTGAGGACTTCCAGGGACATGGGGCCACTAAGCACAAAGGCCACAAACACAGCCCATCTTCCTGGAGCCTCAGTGAAACAGAAGGCTTGGGGAAGAAGCAGGGAGGAAGCACCGCCCTATAGAAAGTGCTGAGGATGTACTATGGGATGGAATTGAAACACTGCCAGTGGGGTGCGGTGTTTACGCTGAGCAGCTCCAGGCCTCCCCCAGGAGCCCAGGCTACACTGGGCAAGTCTGACACTCACGGCCCGGTCCAGCCCCTCCGTGGGCCCCGGTCCAGCCCCTCCGTGGGCCCAGAGAGGGGAAGGGGCTGCTTGGGCCGCCTGCAGGCCGGGCTCCACACGGTGCTAGGGTCCGAGGACAGGAATCCAGGTGACTGCCCCGCCCCACTTCCACCTCCCATAAGCTGGGATTGGCCGCCCTTGGCCCTGGAGCTCAGCTCCATGCAGGCAGGTCTCAGTGGTGATCAGAAAGATGGACGGCCCCAGGGGGCACCGGCACGGCAGGCCTCAGTAGCCTTGGGCTCCCACTCCTGGCCCCGTCCCCGCCTTGGGGTGAGCCTCCTGACCGGTCAGAAGACAGGACAGCCTGGGAGAAGCTGAGGTCTCTGGAATAACGCACGTTGGTTTAAGGACTGGAGGCAAAGTGCGGCCTGGGCCTGACCATGTGTCCAGCTCTCTGCGGCCGCAGCACGTTTGAACCAGCTGGTCACAAGGAGTGCTGGGTGCTGAGCTTCAGCATGGAATTAATCCCATGTCCCGACATGTTGGTTGCTGTGATATTGCCTGTGACGTCTTATCTCTCTCTCACTGCTGCGGCCGCTCTGGGCGGAGGTTAGATCTCAGAGATTCTCTCCTGCAGCCCTTGCCTTACGGACAGGAAAGTGGGCACCCCCCTGGGCGGCAGGGACTGGCCCCGGCCTGGCTGTGGCGAGTGGATGCTGACACCCACTGGCCGGCACAGGGATTGGGTCTGATTCCCAGCAGCTCTGGAGCTTGGGTACTTGCTGCCGCCACTGCAGCCCTGTGGGTGCACGTGGTCAGGGTGGAGGGTGCAGCTCGCTGGAAGAACTCAGGGTCCAGAGAGGGAAACAGACAAGCAGACAGGCCTCAGGGCAGCGGGGAACTTCTAGAGAGCAAACAGGACTCCAGCTGCTCGTGGGGGGCCCGTGCTCGCATCCTGAGTCGGCCACCTGTCAGCTGAGTGATTTCAGGCCACTCCGAGCCTCCTCCCGGCCCTCTGGTCATCTTCGAGTTGGACGTAATCTGTCCAGGTTTTCCGAGGAATCAAACAGATGGAAGGACTTGGACGTGGCCAGTACATATGAGACCCTTTGTAACCAGTGAGACGCAGATACAGTAAAGCTAACATAGACCGTGGACCGCCCAGGGCAGGTGGCTCGTGGGAAGACAGGCTGGCATTCGCAGCTCCAGACCTATGCTAGTGCTGGGTGTCCCTGAGGGGGCCCCAGTCTCCTCCTGGTCCCCTGGGGCATGCTGCTCCGGGGAAAGGGAGAGGATACACCCGAGGGTGTCCTGGGCGCTGCACCCACACTGGCGGGGGACACCGTGTGGGCTGGATACCTCCGCACGTGGAGGGGCCTGTCACTGACAGCTGTCTTCCTGTCCTCCCAGGTCATCGGACTTCGGGACGTCCTACACCAAGCTTACCCTTCAGCCTGGCATCACTACCGTCATCGACAACTTCTACATCTGCCCGACCAACAAGAGAAAGGTAGGCTCTGCACGGCGGGAGCCGCTGCCGCCTTGCTTCTCCGGGATCCTGACGGCGGGGCGGAGGCGTTTACCTCCCAGCTCCCTGCGTCACCCTTCCCGCTTCCGCCTGAAATCATTTGGATGAATTAAGTTTTAAAGCAGCAGCTGGGCCTTGGGAGAAAGTTTGTCCTGGTGCGTTTGTTTTCCCCTGCCCTGGGCCAGCATCCATCCAGGTAGAGCGGGGTAGGGGCAGGGGTGGCCACTCTGGAGGGGAGAAAGAATGTCTCGTTTTGGTCTGGCGTCCTTGGATAGCAGCGAGGAGGGGTCCCGATCTCCTGCAGGGTCTTTTAGTTGTTGATTTGGTTTTGATTTGGCTTTGGTGTCTCATCTGAGCTTTACTTTCTGTTTTCTCGGTCTGAGCGTGTCTTCTGACTCTGCTCTCTGCCTGACTGTGGGATCAGGGAACTTTGTCGTTTCCAGGCTACGGCCGCCTCCACCGGGTTCCGTGAGAAGACCCTTTTGCAAAGCCATGGTTGCCTCCTAGCCACCTCGGGACCCCAGACTGAGGTCAGAGGAAGCACCCAGGGCAGAGCCGTCCTGTGCACTTGACTCCATGCAGGGAAGTAGACCATTGTCACAGAGAGGAACTTGGACAGATCAGGTTCCTCCTGGGAAATGGGATGTCACGCCAGAGAATTGTGACGTTGGGGATTAGAACCCAGAGCCCAGCCCACGGGCACCGATGGATGCTCTGACGCAACGTAGAGCCCGGAAAACCTCTGTAGACTGATGAGAGTCCCGGGAAGAGAGTCATCATTGCCAGATGGCCGGATGCGGAGGGCACTGGAGGGTTTGCCGGTCACGCTGACGGCACATTATTGGGGTCAGAGGAGTCGGTGCGTGCGTGAACTTGGCAGGTTCTGCAGGGACCGAGGCCCCATTGTGGAGGTTTCGGAACGTGAGGACTGATGTGCATTGCCGTTCCCTGGGAGCTGTCCAGGGAATCTTGATTGGCACTTTTTAATGGGATGTCAGCTTTCTAAAGCAGGTCTCTCCCCTCTGCCAACACCCTTCCTGGACTTTTAATGCTGTAAAAGCTTCCTGATGGACAGAATTGGAATGCAGAGGTGGGGAGGGCTGCTGGAGAGGGGGGAACTTCACAGGGACACCGGTGCCTTCCCGGAGGGGGCTCGGGACTGAACAGAGAGAGGCAGGGGTTTGGTTTTGCCCGGGTCTCCCTGGGCCCTGCTCGGGGACTTCAAGTGCACGATCTCACTCTGTCCCACAGGGGCCGAGGAAGGAGGTGTTATTAACCCATTTTCCAGGGCAGGAAACTGAGGCACAGGAAGGTGAGACTTAGCACTTAATCACACAGCTGGTGGTGGGAGGTCTGGATTTGACCCCAGCCTCATGTGGATTCAGAGCTGAGGGGTTTTCTTGTGCAGGAGTGAGAGCAAGTACGGGGGAATGACCCCCCAACTACCACCCGACCCCGACTCCCCGCAGCTCAGCCCACGTGCTCCCCGAGCTGTCCCCGTCCCGTGTCTGGTCGGCCCCAGCCCGGGCTGGTGAGGGGTCAGCGCTGGGATGCAGCCCTTGCTCTGCTGGGAGCTCAGTGCTTTTCCCGCGTGCCGTCCCCGCTCTCTGAGCCACAGGGTTCTCTTGGGGGGCGGGGGGGTCAGCAAGGGAAATGCCCAGGCGGCACCCTAGCCCAGGCCTGGGTGCAGCAGCATGTACATAGAACAGGGACCTTCGTTGGCCAGGAGAGCTGAGTGCTTGGAAGGGGCAAGGACAGACATCCTGCTTCCCTGCCCACTGTCATCTCTCTCCCTGGGGCCACTGTGATTTGGATGCGAGACAAGGGAGGGCTGCCGCGGGCTGGTGCTGACCCAAGCCAGAGGCCCCCCCCCATCACCCCCAAACTCCAGCCAGTAGTGGACACGGGAGGCCATGCCGCGCATCTCCTGTACGTCCTCCAATTTCTATCTGTCTAGCCAGCCCGGTCCTGGAAGCTTCTTCCAAGCTGACCCTGCTGTCCCTCACCAGCTGGGAGGACCCACAGGTGCCCAGATGTGACGGTGGCTCCAGGGCCGGCCCCAAACGCCATGTCCTCCTTTGGAAACGAGAAAGGCAGAGGCAACAGTGGCAGTCACAGAACGGGGAGTCTCTGAGGCGTGAGGTCAGGGGAGGCTGCCGGGCTGCCAGCAGCGAGTCCAGACAGACCCTGGTCCTGCGCGAAGTAGCCTCTGCTGAGCCTGTGTCCTGCTGTGAAGGGGGTGGCTGGGGGTTAATGAGATGATGGGCGGGGGCTCAGCAAAGGGGCTTCTAGGTCACGTAGGGCATCCGGGCAGGCAAAGGGCACCAGGAGTGAAGCATCAGTTTTGGCTACCTGGGGGTTCGGGGCAGATGGAGAGCTGGGGGCTCTGATTGGGGTGCTCAGCAGAACCTCCTCTGCAGGCAACGTTGGGCTAGGGATGCAGGCAGGGAGACGTGTGCATCTTTAAAAAAAGATAGGACATGATCGGCGATGCCTGTGAGAGGTTATTTGATAATTTGGACATTTAGCCTGGAAATATCGCTGGGGATAGAGGCTGGGTCTGGTCGGCCGCTGTGCCCAGCACAAACACTCAGCCAATGTTAAAGGATGAATGCATGCATGCATGCATGAATGAATGAATGAATGAGCGAGTGCCACAAGCTGCAGCCGGTCCCGCTGAGTGAATGCTATTGCCGAGTCGCCCACCTGATCCGCAGACTCCACCTGCACCTGGATGGGGCCTGTAGGCGTGGAGCCCGAGGCTCCTTCCTGGGGTTGCGTGGGGCACCCTGCATTTGTAGGGTAGCCTGAGGGACAGCACCCAGGCCGGGGAGCCCTGTCCTCAGTCCAGTTCTGCCATGACCCTCCAGCGAGGGGACATCAGGGAGGTCCCAAGGTGTCTCATCTCTTAACGGGGGCAGTGATGGAGGGGAGATTGACAGGTGAGTGCTGAAAGAACCTCACTCATTACCCTGCCACTTAAGATATCCGCTGAATCACGGCTCCCAAGTGTGTCCCCTTTCCAATCTCTGGCACCTGTGAATGTCACCTTATGTTTTAAATGCATGTAGGAGCAGAAAAGCCACAGTCCCTGTCACAGAAAAAGCTGATGTGAGACCATGTCAAGTAAAGAACCGGAAGCCACGGGGGCTGGAGAAGGTAGAGGGGAGATTTGGGGGCCACGGGCTGGTCTTCCAACTTCTGAAGGGCGGGCCTAGGGATCGGGAAGCAGTCCAGGCAGACTGCTTGGTGGAAACTGGATTTTACTCAGGTCCATCTCCTCAACTGTGCACAGCCCCTAGCACTCAGCCAACACTCAGGAAATACGGGTGCAATGGGCTGGACTGGAGATGGGGTGGGACCCCTTCAGGGAAAGAGATTTCCATTTAATAAAAGGAAAAATTTCCCCCTGTCATTGCATTCATTTTTTCGTTCATCTGTAGCTTCTCAATTCCTAAGCCACCCACTGGCGATCATCCTCAGTATGCCAGGCCCTAGGCCAGAACCACACGTCAATCATAGTCATTTATTTGTGCAGAGGTGGGGCATGACTGGGGGGTTTACATCATCCCTGCATTGCCCAGATGAGAAAACAGAGGCTCGGGGGAAGCTGGGAGAATAGTCCAGGTCACCCAGCTGGTAGGTAGCAAAGCTGTCACCAATGCATCAAACATATTGTGTCTCTGTACTTGGCATTGAGCAAGGATTTAAATCCAGTTCTGCTAGATGCCAGAGCCCCCTCTGTCATACCTTTGAACTCACCAGGCACCCTGGGGCAAAGTTCCAGGGGGCAGATGGGGTTCCCCATGTCTGTGCAAGCCCAGCGCAGCCTGCTGTGCTGGAAGTGGGGAGTGTGTAACCCGCTGTGGCTGGACAGGGCTCGATCTGACCACAGCTGAGCTGTGTGACTCAGGGCAGATCCTGTTTCTTCTCCAGCCCTCAGTGTCTCCCTCCATAAGATCAGGAGGTTGAACTGGGGGTTCTCCAAAGCCCCTTCCGTCTCCGGCATTCTGGGCTCTCCTGGTCTCCTCCCAGGGGAAGAGCAGCAGCTGGGGAATGAGATGCACGTGGGCAGAGCCCAGACTCTGCTCTGTTTACCACGTGTCTTGGCTTCTCCTCCGCAAGAGGGCAGGTTTCACCAGATGTCCAAGCTCTGTCTCAATCCGACCCCCATCCATTCAGCAGATGTGGGTCGAGGTCCTACTGTGTGCCAGGCTGCATGCTTGGTGCTGGAGGGTGAGAACCCTGGGTCCAATCTTGTAAATATCAGTTGTACATTAAGCACCTACTATGTGCTGGGGCCCTTTGCTGGGCGCTGGGATGTGAAGGTGAACTGGACAGGCAACTTGATCCTTCCTGAACCTTTGAGGCTCTGGTGGAGCCCTGGGAAACCGAACCCCTCCTGCTGCTTTTTTATGGGAGGAACAAGAAAAGGGGCCAAAGTCGGCCTCTAGCGGGACAGGTTTACCCCAGAGTGAGTGTGATCTGGGAAAAGATGGGGTTCTTCATTTGCAGGGGCGCCTGCTTCAGCATGAGCGGAGGGTCTACCTCTCTAGTTATTGGCAATGGACGGGCTTTGCAGGAAGATGTGAATGCTATTAGGAGTCCATTCAACAATTACAGGCTAAGCAGTACTTTATAGCTTCTTAAGAGGCCACTTTGCAACCTGTCTTACAAAATGAATTCCCTTTTATTTTTGTCTTGCCTGTAGTATAATCAGAGCCCCCGCCTTGATGCCCACGGGCGAGGCATTCTACCATTGTCATGGCGTGACCTGAGACCCCGGGGGCCCTGAGGATCCCTCAGCATCCCCCGTATGCCTTCCGTGCTGTCTGAGTACCCGATTTGGCTTTGGACTACCAGCACATTTCTGACTCAGCATGAGAACCCCATGGCACGGGGAGAGGGTGTGAGGGCACAGCCCAGGGGAGCTGGCCGCGGCATGGAATTGCTTTCAAGTGTCGTGTGAATTTTCACTTTAC